GTTCTGGACGGTCCTGGGCGGTCCTGGGCGGTTCTGGGCGGTCTTGGACTGTCCTGGGCGGTTCTGGACGGTTATGGACGGTCCTGGGCGGTTCTGGACGGTTCTGGACGGTCATGGGCGGTTCTGGACGGTCCTGGGCGGTTCTGGACGGTTCTGGACGGTCCTGGGCGGTTCTGGACGTTCTTGGGCGGTTCTGGAGGGCTGGTGGCAGGCGAAGCTGGCGGGCTGCAGGGCGTACGGGGAGGGGACACGACGGGGCTGGCGGACGGGGCTGGGGGACGGGGCTGGCGGACTGGTACGCGACGGGGCTGGCGTACAGGGGCGCGACGGGGCTGGCGTTCGTAGCTGGCGGATTGCAGGGCGGCGGGGAGGGGATGCGACGGGTAGGGGAAGGGGAGGCGACGAAGAGGGGACGCGACGGGTAGGGGAAGGAGAGGCGACGAAGAGGGGACGCGACGGGGAGGCGACGGGGAAGGGGCGCGACGGGGAGGCGACGGGGAAGGGACGCGACGGGGAGGCCTGCGGGCGACGGGCTACGGGGGGAGGGGGGGGGGAACGCGCGTGATTCGGGGGCCCGCGGGGGCCTTTCTAGGTCGCGACGTGGGGGGACCCGCGGGGGTCCTTCTTAGGTCGCGATTCGGGGGCCCGCGGGGGCCTTTCTAGGTCGCGACGTGGGGGGACCCACGGGGGTCCTTCTTAGGTCGCGATTCGGGGGCCCGCGGGGGCCTTCCTAGGTCGCGACGTGGGGGAACCCGCGGGGGTCCTTCTAGATCGCGATTTGGGGGGCCCGCGGGGGCCTTCCTAGGTCGCGACGTGGGGGACCCGCGGGGGTCCTTCTAACTCGCGATTCGGGGGCCCGCGGGGGCCTTCCTAGGACGTGACGTGGGGGGGGGGCGCGGGGGTCTCTCTCTAGCACGCGATTCGACGGGGGTGGGGGGAGGGGGGGCTGGCGCTAAGGGGTGACGGGGTACCACGGGTAACGCGTTACTAACGGACGAGCGCGGGTGGGCCCATGGGAATCGAACTGCTCTATACCATGTCAACGAGGTAACGGAATAATGAATGACTAGAAATGACAAGGACAAGGAAGATATAGCAAACCCTGGTCAACCCTAGCCAACCCTAAACATAAGTGTACACCACCTAGACTAGCAGATACAAACCATAACAATTATAGTTTGACACAACGCTGTGCAGCCGCTTTGCTGCAGCGCTGGCACGCCGTGGAGTTGCAGTGTTGGCAGACTGCAACTCTGCTCTGCTGGAGCGCGGTCGACCTTGTAGTGCTGGAATGCGGTCGATCGTGCTGTGCTGGCAGCCGACCACCTTGCATGCTAGCTCCTGATGTAGTCCATTGTTGCTTTGTTAGTTCAACCATTATTGTCAATCTTTGCTAGTGAAACTCTTGCAAATTCTCCCCGTGAATGTGCAAACAGTGAACACACAAGCAAACGACTAAGGAACGCTACGATCACTCCTACCCCGTACCTTCCCCGTAGTCTTGCTCCCGTTGTACGAGTTATCTCCGCAGCCATTACGTCGACGAGGCCGGACATTGCCTTTGCGTGCAGCAAGCTGGGGTTCGGCCTGACCATGTGGAGCAACCGGCACTAGCGCGAAGTCTACCGCTGCCTCACCTACCTCGCCTACACTCGTGACGATGCCCTGGAGTTTGGTGGCGGACATGAGTCACTGCGTCTGGTTGGCTATGTGGACGCCAACGATGCCGACGACAAGTAGAATCGTAGTAGCATCAACGGCTACATGTTTGTGATTGCAGCACCGCAGTCTCCTGAACGAGTCAGCGCATCAAGTGCGTGATGCTCTCGTTGGCTGTTTTGGAGTACATCGCAGCAACCGAGGCTGAAAAGGAGGCATGCCGACTTCACTTCCTCCTCGCCGAGTTTCAGCTGCTCGACTCTGGGACGCCGACCGTCCTCAACATGGACAATCTGTCGGCCATCGCGGTCGGTAAAGGCTTTTGGCCGAGGAGCAACCTCAAGCACATGGTGCGACGATACGTCTGGCTGCAACAGATGGCGAAGCAAAAGAAGATTGCGCCGCAAAACATCCCGACCACCGAGCAGCCGACCGAATTCCTCACAAAGGCGCTGCACTTTTCGGCCTTCAACCGGTGCTCCGTCACAGTCGGCCAAGTCCGTCTGGCCGACGTGGGCGACGGCGACGGCAATGTACAGCAGCAGGCGCCATGTAATTCAACATGACTGGTGTAGTGACCGGCGTGTGGAGGTGTGCACGTCGACGAGGTATCCTACTTTACTATAATAATAGGTCCTGGGTGGACCTTGCGTGAGTATGTGGGTGCCCAAGCTTGAGTTGGGCAGGGGAGTGTTGACGACAAAAGGCCCCGCCCTCACTTGGGGGAAGCCGACTTCATGATCGCCATGTTTAATGGTTGACGCCGACTTGGAGGCACAAGCCGGCCTGGCTGGTCGACCTCGGTGGAGCTGACTTCGGCAGTTGACCGACTTCGGTGAAGCCGGCGTTTGCAAAGCCGACGTCAGCGAACGACGAAGCCAACTTCGTTGCTCGGTGCGCAAGGTGTATAGCCGGCTGCGCTTTGTGGTCGACACTGATTTGGAGGAGCAGGTCGGCTTGGTTGGCCAACCTCGGCGGTAAGCCGACTTTGACGAAGTCGGCATGGCAACGCCGACTTTGGACGAAGTCGGCATGGCGAGGTCGAGCCGAGGTGCAGCAGACTTTGGCAGAATCGACTTTAGTGGAGTCGATGTCGGCGAAGCCGGCAAATTTGAAGCCAGCCATAGCGAAGCCGACCACAGCAAAGCCGACTTCAACAGAGCCGACTTCAGTGTGGCCGACTTCAGTGAAGCCGGCTAGATGCCGACCGAGGGAGGTGGTTCTCTAAGAGGTGTTCTCGTGAATGATGTCCACTCAGGAGGTGCAACGTGGCTCAACAACAAGTACTGCTCGGCAAGGAACACCCATCGGCTCACTGGCTGAAACCTTCCTGGTGTGAAGATATTTGTCATAGCGGGTATTGCGTGCTGGTTTCCATATGAAGGTGCAGCAAAATTCACGCTTGCTGCCACCATACTGGCTGCAGCTATACTGGCTCGAATTTTAGCTTGCAAGCTCTTTCGAAATTCAGAAATGATCTCGGCTCAAAATAACCCAATCTTCAAAGGACGGCGGTTCTAAGTCAGACGTCATGATGTTATCCTAACAAGAAGAAGTAGTATAGCTCTGATACCTAATGGAACAGCTCTAAGACTGTTATTAACTTTTGAAAGCTAAGCTTGGAGGGTCTAAAATAACAAGATAAAATTGGTAGCATAATTGTTTTAAATTTCTGAAAGTATGAATGACTTACAAGGGATAAACATATGCTCTTATACACAGTTCTAGGACTAGGACGCCTTGAGAAGCTCGTTTAGGTCACCGTTGAAGCGACGGGCAACTTTTGGCAGTGTTGGGTTCAGAAGTTTTTTTTTTGAACCAGGCTTGCCAGCGCGAAAGTGCTGGCTGGCGAAAACCAGGATTTCGTGCGGACACTTTCCATCCGCAGTAACAGTTCGCCAGGGTTCTGGGTTTTGGGTGGCAAATGTGCACCGTTGCTTTAATCCTATCTCTACTGTCACCAGCAAGGAACGTAATTCGTACAAGCAATGATCGCACATCTACACTGTATCCCAGAAATTTCTATGGAGATATACAAATTACAATCACGAGATAACTCTAGAACGATACTAGTTTACTTTTTCATCATCTTCATGATGATGGCATATCCGTCTTGTAATGCTGGAATGTATTTGCAGTTGCATGCGTCGACTAGTTGCCTTTTTGTCATGATGTTCCTCTGTTTGTCTTTGTCTCTATGTCTCTGCTATTTTGCTGTTTCGGAATTCAAGTGTGCTAGGGAAAACCCGAAGCGCACATTTCAAGTTTGGATTTCCAACCTTTCACATTTCAGGTTGGATTTCCAACCCAAAGGTTGTCAAAGGTTACAGGTTTGCCAGTTTGGTTACAATGACCGTGATTGTAAGACACAATGATGCAATGGTAACATGGTAACCAATTGAAGACGTGGAAGTTGATTGTACAATAAGCTGTTCAATGACCTGTCGTTCTCCCTTCTGACTGGGCGCCTTTCTCACAGTCGCCTAACAAACATGCAAAACCCTTCTCAACCTCAATGCTGTTTTTTTTCACTACTATAGCAGTTTGATAGAGCTCAGAAGCACGATTCCAACGCACCAAAGTTTTCAGGAAACGGTCAACTATAGCCAAAGATACATAGCAGTGATAGTAACTTAGTTGGTTTCTGGTTTGTGCTCTCTGGTTTTATACTAAGTCGCAATACAAAAACAAAGCCCACAAGAAAGTGCTGACCTGGGTTGCACTCTGAATTTCGTCGACATGAAATTCAGAGCCTTGAATTTGGCCGAGCGAATTCCATTGTCTGGAATTTCGTAAACGAAAATTTCCACGACCAGAATTTCTTCAACCACTGATGTTAACTCCCGTAAGAATTCCGTTGACTTTGACACTTCGCTGCCGAGTTTCAAACCGAACGCGACCCGAGATCGGTCTCTCCAAACTGTCCCCAAACTGTCCTGCAAAATATTATTTTGGGACACTTGAATCGAAAGGTCTCCAGTTCGAATCTCGCGTGCATCATAACCAGCGCCTTGGCAGAAACTGTTCTGAATCTGTTTGGGACACTTTCAGGACAGATTGAAGGTCACGAGTTCGAATCCCAGCAGCGGCATTTTCTTGCTCATGGCGGCATTTCCTTCTAACACTCCCCCTTGCTGTAAGGAGCATGCTGGACCAGCCCTGCTGCTGCACAGCAACGGTTGAAGGCTGCCTTGTCGAGCCGCTTCGTGAAGAACTCCGCGGGCTGCACCGTCACAGGAATGTGCTGCAGCTTCAACTGCGTACCATGTCCTGCAGCCACATGTGGCGATGGTCGACATGCTTCATGCGCCCCTGCAGCCCGCCCGCTTGGTTGACATGCTTCACGCGACTGTGAGTGCCACGCCCTTCCCGTCTCCTTCGGCAACGTTAACAGCTGCCGCGGGCGTTGCATCTTTCTTCTTGTTGGGACACTTGGCAGCCATGTGCCCCTCCTCATTGCAGTTGTAGCAGCGCCCCTTTAAGGGGCCTCGCTTCTTCTCTCGCTTGCCATCCTTTTTGTCCGTCTGCTCCCTTCCTCCTTTCCCTTCCTTCCCGTTGATCCCCGTTGCAGCCACAATCGAATTGACAGCGCCTGAGAAAGCAGATGCATCACTTGTTATCTGCTTGTAGCTTTGTTCGATGGAGAGAGTCTGCTCCTCCATCAACACCTCACTGCACACACGTTCCACCGTCATGTCAGCGCTGGAAATGTCGAGCTTGCGGCAAAGGAATCTGTACTCTGGTGGCAGGCCTTTCAGCACGTGTGCAGCGAACATGGCGATCTGGACCTCGTGTCCTATGGTCAGCAACTCCGCTCGAATGGTGCGGGCCTTGTTGCAGTAGGATTCCGCCGTCTCATCATCTCCCTTCCTAAGTTGGGTTAACTGGGTCTGAAGTAGGGAGGTGTGGAGGGCATCACGAGCTTGACAGGTAGACAAGATATATGAACATGCTAGCTGTCCAGCTTTCTCTTGCTATGAGAAATCAGAGATGGACATGCGGATGGGTGGAGAAACACAGTTATTCAGCACCATGAATGCAAGCATGTGGCCCTTCGCGTACTCCCTTCGTTTCATGGGGTTGTTTGGGGACGGGCTTGGTGCTGTCCGGTTGCAAAATTGCCACAAGTCAGCGCACTGGAGCTGAGTTCGGATGGCGCTGACCCACGCAGTAAGATCGTGCCTTCCCTCCAACAGTGGCGTCACGGAGATATGCTCCACGCCAAACTTGAAATGGCTATATGTGGCTCCGATCGTTCCCGTTTCGATAGTCGGTGCAACAGCTCCTCCACCAATGCCCATGGCACTTGGAGCCTCGTGCGCAGCTCCTCCTTCACCGGTTTCTCCTTGCTGGCCGCTCGCAGGTGCTTGCTCCGCCGCTCGCCCCCCAACCATGCGTAGTAGACGACCGTCCACAATAGGGTCAACCTCCTCATCAAGCAAGTTAGGGTGGTGCTCACGAACAGACGCCTCCAAATCTTGGCGAGCATTCAGGCCCTCGTCGCTCGTTAACCACTCTATTCGCGGTCAAGTCGAGCGTCAGCCACACCACCGTCGGAACGAAATGCCGGGAGGACGGAAACAAGCCGCTAGTTGGATCGACGCAGATAACGCAGCTCGGATACCATGTAGTATTGCACTACTATAGCAGCTTGAGAGCTCAGAAGCACGATTCCAACGCACCAAATTTTGCAGGAAATGATCAACTATACATACAAACATAGCAGTGATAGTAACTTAGTTGGTTTCCGGTTTGTGCTCTCTAGTTTTATACTAGGACGCAATACAAAAACAAAGCACACAAGAAAGTGCCGACTTGGGTCGCACGCTGAATTTCGTCAACGCAAAATTCAGAGCCTTGAATTTTGCCGATCGAATTCCATTGACTGGAATTCCGTAGACGATAATTTCCGCGACCAGAGTTTCGTCGACCACCGACTGTAACTCCCGTAAGAATTCCGTTGACTTTGACACTTCGCTGCCCGCGGGCAAAAAAAAAAAAAAAATCCCATTCGGGCATGCATCTGGTCAGGGAGGCATCAATCCTAAACGCATGGAGGCATGTGTTTAGGGCTGATGCCTCCCTCGGATTGCATGCCATCCGATGGGGTTTTAGTTTTTTTATGCCCAGCGGTCAGGTCGACGGAGGGTCGACGGCCCGTCGACCCTCCGTCGACCCATTTCCGCTGAGATATTCCGAATGGGACCTGATATCGGTCTCTCCAATCTGTCTCCAAACTGTCCTGCAAAAGACTCTTCTGAGACACTTGAATTGAAAGGTCTCTTGTTCGAAACTCGCGTGCGTCATAACCAGCGCCTTATCAGAAACTGTCCTGTATCTGACCTGGGACACTTTCAGGACAGATTGAAGGTCACGAGTTCGAATCCCAGCAGCGGCATTTTCTTGCTCATGGCGGCATTTCCTTCTAACAAATGCACCCCTTCACGCAAGCCCCGGACAATATGCACAACGTGCAAAAAATCCTAGTGCTATTCTTCATCGGGTCGGGGTGGACTCAACCCACTAGACCCATTTGCACCCCTCTCAACTCCAATGCACCCCTCCACGCAGGCCCTTGAGAGCATGCACAACGTGAACAAAGGCCTGGTGCTGTTCTTCATCGGTTCGGGGTGGACTCAACCCAACAGTCCCTTTTCCACCGCTCTCAACTGCAATGCACCCCTCCACGCAGGCGCCTGATGAGATGCACAGCGTGCACAAGGCGCTCGTGCTATTTGTCATCAGGTCGAGGTGGTCGGGCTGCACTACCACCACATGGTAGACAAAGACGAGATGCTCACCGCTGCCTTTGCCCTGTACGTGCCATTGTAATGAGGAGTTGCCTTGGCTTTTGAGTGAGCTTAGAATTCACTTTGGGGTGGTCGCAGCTGTACCACTACCACATGCCCGATGAGGAGGAGATGCTCACCGCTGCCTTCACCCTGTACGTGCCATTGAAACGAGGAGGTGGCGTTTGAGTAGAATGAAGAGTCACCTCAGGGTGGTCACAGCTCACCACCTGCCTGATAAGGACGAGATGTTCAAAGCTGCCTTCGCCACGTACGTGCTGTTGCTGCTGCTGCTGCTAGGTCGTGAGGGTTCGTCTCCTTGGAAAGTGGAATCATGCATCTGGCGGAAGGGCTTGGCGTGATGTAAAAGGGACTGTCGAGTTGAGTGCTTGGCCTATATGGTCCCCCAACTTCCACTTATTGAATTGAAACCATGGCATGATGTCATGATGGCATGATGGTATGAAGGCATGATGGCATGATGTCATGATGGCATGAAGGCATGGAGGCACGATGGCATGATGGTACCTACCTTCTGTACAACTGCACGGGGAGTGGTGTTAGGAGCGGAGCGGAGCGGAGATCGGTGGAAATCACATTTGATAAGATTTCAAAAGCGACTTCAACATTGCATGGGGAGTGCTGATGGAAAAGGGCTTGGCGTAATCAGGTGGAGTGGAGCAAAGACGAGACATGGGAAATGGCACACAGCTTATCATGGGGACGTAAGCAGGCAGCTGGTCAGGCAAGCAATTTATCCCATGTGATGATGTTACATTAATTGTGTTTTCCTTATAAGATTCTCTCGATCTCATTGTCTCATCTGTTAGTTAGCAACACCTTGCAGCCTCGAAGTGAAGCAAGTGAATCCTGAATACTTTTGAAGCCCGTTGGAAGAAACATCACCGCACCACGTCACCCACCACCACCTATCCCATCCCCATATATCTGTTGCTCTTGTGCATGGTCCATCCATGCTATGCCCCGTGGCAGCCTGGTAGTGGAGATGGGGATTTGGGCGCAGTGCTGATTGAGCAGCCAATGCAGCCAATATCAATCTACGTGGGGCCTAATGGGCTAGGCAAGTTTGATGAGCTGGAAGAGGATGAGCTGATGGCGTGTTATTGAATGGATGAGTGGGTGAGTGAGTGAGGGGTGATGGCGTGTGAGAGAGTGAGATGACGGTGTGTGAATGAGAGCGTGAGTAAGTGGGTGACGTGATGGGGTGTAAGTGAGCCGGGTGATGGCGTGTAATTGAGTGAGGTGATGACATGTAAGCGAGTGAGGTGATGGCGTGTAAGTGAGTGAGGTGATGGCGTGTGAGTGAAGTGATGGTGTATGAATGAGCTGATGGTATGTGAGAAGTCATGCCGATATGTGTATGTGTTCAAGTGAGTGCACTAATATGAATGCATGTTGACCTGCTGCACACATGTTCATAAGCCATATTGCACGAAGTATCCGAATCTAATATTATTGTTCACATGTGCAATTCTATCTTTCCATGAGCGTATAGGAAAGAATATCAATTCAGAATAGTCCCATGCCCATCCATCCAGGCATGCTCCTCCATCCAATGCATTCTCCCCCATCCCATGCATGCTCCTCCATCCCATGCATCTATTCCAAGCATCCTTTGCGATGGCGTTGGCACATCCGGAGCAACTAGAGTGGCATCTCACGGCACCCATGGCCAAGTCCTTCGTGAGGGGAATGGATGCGCTGCAGCTTGCCTCCCCCACTTGCAGATCAGTGCCACTCTGCCCCTTGCCTACCAGTCAGTGCCGCTCGCTCTGCTTGCTGCCAGGGTGTGCCGCTCGGGTTGTCGCCTCATGTGCTTGTCACTGCCACGCCCCCCACCTGTACCCACCTCCCCCTCAGCTGCTGCCTTTCTAGCCCCTACTGTGGTTTGTGGCGTGCATTGAACATGGATGTGGCGTGTGACATGGGATGTGGTTTGTGACATGGCATGTGGTTTGTGACATGGCATGTGGTTTGTGACATGGCATGTGGTGGGTGGCGTGGCATGTGGTGTTTGGCATGGGATGTGTGGCATGTAATGGGATGGGTGGAAGTCTTTGTGCTCATGGGAGTGAGCAAAAGAGGACTGATGGCTTAGCTGACAGCGGGTTTGGAAAAGGTGAGAAGGACCCTTGTGTTGACTCAAAAGTGGCGTGTGACATGGGACGTGGTTTTGAATTTACATAAAGTCACCTCATGAGAGTGAGCAAGAGAGCACTGATGGCACGGTTGACGGAAGCTTAGGATAAGGTGAAAAGGAAGGGCATGCCTGTCATATCTACTTGTACCTGCACCTGCTCGGCATTGCATGGCACCTACCATTGCAACTTGCATGCATGGTGAGGGGCACCTAATTTTAGGTGGGGTATATACTGCCTTGCCCTGCATTCGCCCTTGTGTCTTAGCCTCCTAGGCATGTCAAGCTTATTGTTCGCCTATCGTGCCATAGAGTGTAGTGTATACTAGGCTCTTTCTGTCTATGTCTTGATAAGGTATATGGAAATCGCATAAGTATGATCCTATTTCTGTAT